AACAGATGGGCCTTATCTAGGTCCCCATGTATGTTTTTAAGGTCAAACTTAAAGCAGGTAGGGAGCAGCTGACAGTCCATCACCGCAGGGCTCTGCCATCTATGTTTCTTGAGCATTTAAAGGAGGCAGAGAAAATGTTTCATAAATGAGAGACGGAGAAAGAGAAGCATGAGAGAGAGAAAGAGAGAGAGAGATGGAGGCAGAAGAAAGAGGACTGGAGGGATCATAGACAAAAGGGAAATTTGATAAAATTTTGGCCACAGTGATAGGAGAAAAAGGAAAGATAGAACCTAGACAGATAGGGAACCTGGGCAACAGAAGACCAAAGATGAACATGGACAGGCACCCCTTGGACAAAGGACGATGTGCTTATTGCAAAGAAAAAGAACATTGGGCAAGAAAATGCCCAAAGAAGAAAGGAAGGGACTCTAAGGTACTGGCCCTAGCAGAAGATAATTAGAGGGGAGAAAATAAAAGACTATAATAATTGGAGCAACTGGACAGAAACAATATCTATGGACCACCTCACAAACTGTAGATTTGGGGAGAGGACAAGTGACTCATTCCTTTCTGGTTATCCCCGAGCGTCCTATCTTTGTTAGAAAGAGACTTGCTAACGAAGCTGAAGGCCCAGATCGGGTTTACTCAAACCAGGCTGGAGGTGATTAAAGCCTTTTGTTGACTGAACCAGTGACCTTCACTCCCCCTGCTGTCCCCCATCCCGCTACCCTACTGCCTGAGGCTGATGACACCTCGTCTACTCATCAATGCGCTGAGAAGCTGGCACCAGAAATGATCTGAAGGATCAGCCTTGGCCTGAAAGTCCGAGCTGGTGTACGGATGGCAGCTGTTTCGTGATCGAAGGTAAGCGGAAGGCGGGGACAGCAGTGGTGGATGGGAAGCAAATGGCCTGGGCATAGCCTCCCTGAAGGACGTTGGCACAAAAAGCCGGACTTGCGGCTTTGATACCAGCTCTATGAGTGGCAGAGGAAAAAGTCTCAGCCAGTATCTACACTGACAACAGGTATGCTTTTGCTACTGCCCATATTCATGGAGCAATATACAGACGAAGAGGACTGTTAACATCTGCAGGAAAAGACATATACTTGTCTAAGACACCAAAAAAACTTGAGATGCTATGGCTGAAGGAAATCAGATGGCAGACTCTCTGTCTTGGCAGAAGAAGTAGTCAAAAACTGCAAGGCCTGTGCTATGATTAATGCAGGACACTCCATATATGCTCCTGGGAAGAGGCTCAGGGGCGATTGGCCTGGAGCCTACTGGGAAGTATATTTTACAGAAATTAAGCCAGCCAGATATGGCAACAAGTACTTATTAGTTTTTATAGATACCTTTTCAGGCTGGGTAGAAGCTTTTCCTACCAGGACTGAGACAGCCAATGCGGTGACTAAGAAGATCAAAGAAGAAATCTTCCCAAGGTTTGGGATACCCAAGGTAATTGGGTCTGATACTGGACCTGCCTTTGTTGCCCAGGTAAGTCAGGGACTGGCCGCCCAACTGGGGATCAATTGGAAATTACATTGTGCTTACCGACCCCAGAGTCAGGACAGGTAGAAAGGATAAATAAAATTCTAAAGAGACCTGCGGAAATGACTGGACAGCCCTCCTTCCCTTTTGCCCTGTTCCAGGTTTGGAATGCCCCAGGGCGATTTAAACTCATCCCTTATGAGATCCTATATGGAGAACCACCACTGCTCACTGAATCGGATAAAATGTATAATCCTGATGTTATTCTTTCTAGACCTTTATTTTCCCCGTCTAAAGGCCCTTGAAATGGAGAGACACCAGATCTGAAAACAACTGAAAGAAGTATGCATCTCTGCCTGGATCCACGCCTCCCACATGAAGCGAGCTCCTGAACTACCCGAACTACAGTATCCGAGGCTTTTGACAACGCTACCAGTCAAAAGGCTTGGGTTTAGAGGACTGGTCTCTTACTGAGGTTATGTAATGAGACTCTAAAGAACCCTAAGACTCCTGACACCTAGTACTTGGTTCCTGGTTTAGGTAGATGATGGGTTTGTAGTACAGGCTTGATGCCTTGCATGTCAATGTTAATTTTTGATGATACCAAAGATTACTGTATGCTTGCACAACTGGTATGAGTTTGACAGGCACCCATCTCGCTTTCGACGAGAACCTATTTCTCTGACACTAGCAGTAATCCTGGGCCTTAGAGAAGCTGCCGATGTTGGGGCAGGTACTGCTGCCCTAATACAGGCCCCTCAGTACTTTAATGTATTAAGATTTGAGGGCTTTAGAACAATCTGTTTCCAAACTCGAAGAGTCATTGACTTCCCTCTCAGAAATGGTCTTACAAAATAGAAGGGGATTAGATTTGTTATTCTTAAAGGATGGAGGATTATGCGAATAGATCTCCCTGGATGACTACTTTGATATCCTCCCTTATGGGACCACTCCTAATTTTGCTTCTGCTACTGATATTACCTTTATTAGAAAAAGAACAAGTGCTGTTCAGATTTTGATGTTACACCTTCAATACAGTGCTTTAAGGTCAAGAAGATACTGAAATCTAGTTCTATGATTAGAACTAGGCACTAAAAAAAATGGGGGAATGAAGGACCCCAACTCGTTTTAACCACAATTATACCGTTTAGCTTAATTCAGGGCCTCCGGAATGCTGAACAAATAACAAGCTCAGGGCCTCCGGAATGCTAAAGCAAAGACACCTGAGATTAGAGCAAGGACAGCCTTATCTGGCTGCAAGACAGGGATTTATGGACTGGCCATAGGAACAAAGAAAGAGAGGATTGCGAGGCCTGAGTCACGTATAAAGCGGGGCTCTCACGAGTCAGGGGCTGTGCAATCAGACATCTAGTCGCCAGCCAGGAAAGGGGGGGGCAGGATAAGAGAAACAGTAAACCGCTGAGTAGTCCCCTCATTGTTATTTAGGTTAAAAATTTACCACCCTGCATCTTGCTTCTGTAAACCTCGCTTTTTGCTCTCCTATAAGAACCCCTCACCCCCAACCTGCAGGCGCGCAAGTCCTCCGAACGACTTGTCGCCCCAGGTACCTGCGTATCATCCAATAAACCTCTTGCTGTTGCATCCGGCTGCGTGTTTTCGACTGATCTTTGGGTACGGGGTCTCTCCCGAAGGAAGACGCCCACGGGAGTCTTTCACTGGGTCATGTGACCAGCAGTATTCTCCCTTGTGTTTCTAGATTCTTCAATCCTTGTTTGTAGTCCACTGCCCAGAACTGATCGTTGTTGGAGACACCATACACACACCTTCCAGAGCTGCTTTAAAGTCTGTGAATCTTTGCCACCAGTTCTTACTCAATCCCGTTATGTAGAAGACTTTTTGCTTTTAACTAAAATCTTTCACAGATAGTAATCAAAGTTCAAAACATTTAGAAGCATTTGTTTAAATGGGAGGGTATGTAGATCCTGAAATGTTAAAATCATGAATACAATTTTCATTTTCAAAATTTCTTTGAGATGCAATAGGGCAGATGGAAATGTACTTCCTATGACTGAATGGGTAGCTCAGTACTATTTAATAAAAGCATGTTTTATATAAGAATAATACTTAGAATTTGCTTTTGTAATCATAGTAATGTGTAGAAAGTAAAAAGGCCTTGTGCACACAGTCAGGCATCGGAGAAGTCAGGGAAGTTAAACACACAGACCTCTTCAACTGAATGAGGCACGCAGCCACTCTTCCTGGAATGCCAGGGATGGTGGGTGTAGTTTTACAACCTGGGGGTCCTTCACTGTCTGATGAGGCAGGCTCTCCCAGAATGTACTTATTTCAGGCTCTTTCCCCCTAAATCCTGAGCATTGCTTTTTGGTCATAAAAGCCATCCTTATGAGTGAGGCCACTGTGCTTTACAGCAGCCTAAGTGGCTTCTGTGATATTTTAGGGCCAGGCCAATCCTGACACCTAAGGCGTTAAGGTTTATCTCAGTCAATCTTCCTAAACCCTTATCTCCAGCCTTGTTTCTAAGTCAACAAGAGCCCTTCTTAGGGTGAAGTCACAGATACTTTGCAAAGAGCTTCAGTGTAAACAGTCTTAAGCTTTGTGTGCTCCTGGGGCTGAGTTCATTGTTATCTGAATAGTTTTCTCCAAAACTGTTCTGTGCTTAAATATGGTCAAAGTAAAATGGTCTGGGTCAGACTCTAGTAGTCCTGGTCTAGCAGCAGTTAGAATAAAATCGGGCTGGGCCGAGTTTCCCTCTTTCCTCTCCCAGGTCCTTATCCCAGCCGGCTGAGAGCCTGCTGGGGAATCACCACAGCAATGTGTTTCTAAGACAGAAATAAGACCTTTTTTCTTTCAAAATTGTGTCTTGCTATGTAGCCCAGGCTGGCCTCGAACTCATGATCCTCCTGCATCAGCCTTTCTATTGCCGGGACAAATGTGCTACAGTCCTTAACAGGATAACATACCTTTCCATGCCTGTCATCTAACTTTCATCTAATTCTATTTTATTATACTATATATATCATATTATATATAATATGATAATATTATATATTAATTTTACCTAATTAGGTAATCTAACATTAACTAATGTTCAGTACTTTTGTCAAATCTTTTTCCGTCTATATTCCCATAGCATTTCTACTCAAACAATTTAAGGCAAGTTCTACATATCAGTTATAACATGAAACATTTCAGTGTCTATCAGAAAATATACAATTTTTTTTGAAATGAGGTCTTCCTATATAGCCTTGCATGGCCTGAAACTCACTATGTAGCCCAGGCTGGCCTTGCACACATAGACATCTGTCTGCCTGTGCCTCCCAAGTACTGGGATTAAAAGCATTTACCACTGTGCCTGGCTGGGAAACACAAAAACTTAAAGTGACTAAGCTGCTGTGATTAAACCTGGGAGCTCTCATGTAGCCCAGGGTGGCCTTGGATTTGCTATGGAGCTGAGGATATCCTTGAATATCTGATTTTCCAATTTCCATCTTCCAAATACTAGGATTATAGGTGTATGGCACCATGCTTGACTTAGAATAATTTTTTAATATTAAATGTCTAATGTATCTAAAACCTTATTTGGCTTATTTATTCTTTCATAATTCATATATATACACATTTAATATACTTTGATCATATTCCAACCTCCCCAATTATCCTCTCTTATTTCTGTCCCTCTTCCATCAAACCCTTTCTTTCTACCAATGTGTCCTCCTCCAACTCTCATGCTTTGGTGTGTGTGTAGCATTTCATTAGGGTTATCTGTATGAGCATGGGTGGCCGAGGTTTTCCTTGGGCAAGGGCAAGTTACTAATGGCTATACCCCCGAGGCATCAGCTCTTCCCCTGTTATAACCATTAACTGCCTATGGCTCCTCAGGGCGGGGGAGGGCCCTCATGAACCGCTCCCTCATCCAGGATGGCATGTAGGTGCTGTGAGCTCATGGCATGCCCGGCCGTGAGACAGTGTTTCACATCACTGCTTCCAAAGCTGGCTTTAACTTTCTTTTTGCTTTCTCTTCTGAGTGTCCTCTGAGTCTTGGAGGTTATAAAGATGCCCCACTGAGTCCCTAACAGCCACTTAGTTCCAACATTTTGGCCAGTTGTAAGCCTCTGCATCAACGGTTGCACACGGCAAACAGGAGCTTCTCGGAAGAAGGCTTGAGAGCGGTACTAATATATGGATATAAACATAAATATTTAGAAGGCGGTTTGAAATCCTCGTCCATTTAGCAAAACAATAGTAGCTTCCCTCACAGGGCTATGACCTCCGCAGTCTAGGGCTTTTAACCCGTTGTGTAGTATGAATTCCTCCAGTGGAGCTGGCCAGAATTCAGTCAGAAAGTGTTTGTCTACCACCACAACGGTTGCAGTAGTGGGCACATCTCGCCTGCGATCTGAGGTGTCAGTTCACGGTTTACAGCCAACTTTTCTCCCTCAGTAGCCTGCATAGCACTTCCCAGCCTCCTGAAAGCTAGTCAGTGAGAAGGAAGCTTCCGGCTCAGTTTCAGTTTGAGTCCGTTCCGTGTCTTCAGTAACCGGGTTCTATCATCTAGTTCTGGCTAGCACCTAGGAGCAATGTTCATACCCTGTATTGTTTTGTGGAACTTCTGAGTTTTCTTTGACCAGCGACTCGAAAGGAGATGCACACACCCAACACTGGGATTTCGCTTAATAACCTATGGCTTCTGGGAGCTGTTATCCACCCATGCAAGGCCCCTCCCTTAGAACTCCTTTTTCTGAAAAAGTATGTCTTAAAATTATCTCGCAAAATAGGCTTCCATATGGCTCTTACATTCTTCCTTTCTGTTAATCCTCCACCCGGCCCCTGTAAATACCTATTAATACATAGGTTCTGCTCAATTGATCTCGTTTTTCTCCTTAATCTTGTTTTAATTAAACTAGGTCATTTGACTACAGTCTTGGTTTTACTAATTACATCCCTGTGGTTTGGGCATGTCCCTCTACTTTTTCCTTCCCCTAAATGGTAGTTAGGTCCAAAGACTTAAAGACATTTAAGTTAGATTCTTTTTTAGCAATAATGCCTTATAAGTGGCATTAAATACTTTCTTCAGAATAAGCAAAATACCAGCTATATATTATTAATTAATATATTATATTACATTAATGATGTTTGATTATTAATGGCTATATCCATATATTTGTTATAATGTTAAAGTATGATGTTGAAGGTTTTTAATCTTTTTTCTTCTCTTTAGCTCAGTAGCTAATTTTATGTCAACTTGACACAAGCGAGAGTCGTCGGAAAGGAGGAAACCTCAACAGAGAAAACGCCTCCATAAGATCCAGATGTAGGGCATTTTCCGAATCAGTGATTGATGTGGGAGGACCCAGACTATTGTGGGTGGTACTATCCCTGAGCTGGTGGTCCTGGGTTCTATAAGAAAGCAGGCAGAGCAGGTCACTTGAGTAAGCCAGTAAGCAGCTCCCCTCCGCGGCCTCTGCATCATCAGCTTCCGCCTCCAGGTTCCCGCCCTGTTTGATATTGTGTCCAGACTTCCTTCAGTGAAGGACGATGTATGGTGTTGAAGCATAAGGCAAGCAAACTCCTTGCTCCCTAGCTTGCTTTTGGTGTTGGTGTTTCTCATAGTGGTAGAAACTCTAACCAGGACTTTCAGGTTGGCTTAGCAGTCTCTATGTATCCCAGGCTGGCCTTGAACTCATGATGTAATTCCTCAACCTGGCGTACAGATGTCATTACCACACCTGATCAGATTTTAGTTCCGAAGGAACAAAGCTTGCTATTTTGTTATTCTATGGATCATGCTTTTGATGGAAAATCTGAATTTTTTTTGCATAATCCAAGATCATAAAGATTTTCTCCAGAAAAAATTCATTTTAGGTTATATATTCAGTTCCTTAATTCTTAAAAATTTTGTCTTTTTATCAGGAGCAGTGATCCTAACAAAATCCTTTTACCCTGACAGATGTTGATTTTTTTCTAATCTATTAGTAAGACAAAATCTTGATATAAATAT